GGGGGCCCCCCCCCCCCCCCGGACTGTAACGCCCCAATGGGGGATGGCTTTCCCCCCCCCCCCCCCGCGCACAAAAGACTAACTGTGGGCAGTTGCATGGACTGTATATAAAACTAAATGTGAATGTTGAAGTAAACATCTTATAGTTGGCTGGGAAACACTTTTGTTCATGCTGTAGTATTAACTTTATTGCACTCTTGCTTTCAAGTGGCCTTTTTGAGTAATAAAGAGTCATTCTGTGGTAAATATGGCAGGATTGTAGTACTGTGTCCACTTGCAGTTCAGGGTGGACCGCTGGATCTTTTTAGGGTCACTGTTTAAATGTTCACATGCATTCAAAATGGCTACCTGTGGGGTCCCGTAATCTCATACCCCGAATCCTAACATGATGCTGGACAAACGTCTGGGATGGGAGAGCGACCTGCGATGCTGGGTCTCTGTTTAAATTCCCCATTAGCCCCTAGGGTTACCTTTAGGTAAGGGATGTTAGTATAGTAGCGTGTCAGTCATGTGCAGCTGGGTTCTTATTGTGGGACAAGCTATTAAAATAGATATTAATGGTCTAAAAGTAGTTGAGTTCCATGTGCTGTGCCATGCTTTACTGTTTTGCACATTGAGTGACGGGCAACAACTTAATGTCTGCCTGTTGTGGAATCTAGTTTTTGGGAAATTACATATTAAGGGTAGAATACACTCATTTTAACGTGATGGGTGCTAAACATGAAGATTGCTGTTGCGGTTGGTTCCGCCATTTCTTTTCTGTCCTTATTTGTGCACATCTTTGGGTCCAAGTGATGGCCTTTGTATCCCACTAGGGTTGGTAATGTTTGTCTGTACACTTTGTCTCATTTCTGTTCCAGGATCAGTTGCATTTCACTCATGCTTTTTTTTTTTTTGTGTGTGTATGTGTGACACGGAAGCGTGTAAGAACATGTCATGAGTCTCGTTCATTAAAGATGTCTGGTCACGGTGAAAGATACTGGGTGTTTTTTGGGTAAGATTGATGGGGGGGCCCGCTCGCTAAGCCTAGATGACCTGTCAGACACAGATTTGTGCCAGTACACCTGCACAGGGATCTAACCCGCTGATTTCCCCCCAGGCGTTTATGCAGCCTGTTAGAACATTTTAGGAATGAGTGCCCGATGTTACTCTGTGACACCTGATCCTCCGCTCACGGAGCATTTGATATCCGGTATCAGGTGCGTTAAGTGTCTAATCTGGTCCCAGTACTAAACCACCATGGCATTGAAAGCAAGCCAAAAGCTAATGGTGCATTCAACTATGGTCCCGACGACAGCTGGGTACAACGAGAATAGATGTCGGGCAGACTTGGTGGTTTTGAGACAGCCGGGTGCGGGATTTTCTGTGGAGGTTCAGAATTTTTATGGTATAGAAGATTGTGGAAAAACCGCTAGCAGGATGCCATCCTGGGGCAAGCGTGTGTTTGTTAGGCGGGTGCCAGTCTTCGAGATGGTTTGGGGTTGTCCGACCTTGACGTGAAAGTGCTAGAAGTTTGCATAAAGGTAGGACCTATATTTGGCGGGGGGTTGGTGACAGTTAACGTTTCCGAAGGGGGACGGTGGCCAAACAATCATTTTTTTTTTTGGGAATCCATTACCTCTACTGGGGTTGGTCCTAGGATGATTATATCAAATCATTAATGATTGGTTACATTTGGTGTTTCTGTTACTTGGGCAGATCCATTTGATGAGCACTGCCCACAGGTTGCCACTCCCCCGTGATACTATGATGTGCGTAAGTTTCTCATAAGCGCAAAAAAATCACGCTTTGGTTTGCCAAACTGAAGTGTGTTTTCTGTCATGGAAATATTCCACAAAATTACGCAACTGCCGAGAGGGCTTTATGTGAGCAGCGGTGTTGAATCCTGAATTAACTATTTGCACAATTACAGAGGGTTAGATCATTCAGGTGAGTCTCGCACTATAGGTGATTTTGGAAGGCTGGGTGTTTATTTGTAGTGACAATCAACCATAATGACCATCATTTAAATTAAAATTAACATGTATGCCGTCTCTAATCGGCGTCTCTGAAGACGTGTGGATGGACGTGTGCATGCTATCTATTAATTTCGCGCGCCACATTTTGCGGCTTGTAGATGTTCCGCGGTGGACTGTGCACCGAAACCTCCCGGTCGTAGATCTAGTTGCGTTCCCACTGCGACACCTGGTGGCCATGGATAGCACATAATCCGTGCCTTTAGTTGCAATTTAAATACGGCCACAAGATGCCGCTATAGTCATTTCTAAGGATATTTCTCTTTTTCTGCAGCGAACAAACTTGTGAATCGGTCAATCGGGAAAAAACTAGCTTCTTTGATTTTAATTTGAATTGAATATTCTTTAACGAACAAGAAATCCAATGTGTGTGCAAGACTATCCGCAACAATAATTGTATTATGTTTTGTGTATGCAGTAAGTGTTAACATTCCGTTTCTGTGTTACGGCAAGGTGTCCTTATTTTTCTGTTCGCCACACCAGGTAGAATTTCGCATACATGTGATCACATTTACGACGTGATTTTTTTCTAAAGTTTGAAGTCTATAAATTGCTTAGTGTTCTAACGCCATTTCATTCTGAAAATCTGAGTCTTATCTCTGCATTTTCAAAGTGGAATTAATAAAATATCTCTGCTGACATTCATGTATTTTATTCTTCACGAAACTGGAGGTGCAGTAATACTTGCATTCTTATATAATATCATAAACACACAGAAGGTGTGAGCTAAATCTGGTTGTAAACACAGCAGTTATATGTTGTTCTGTACCAATAAAAGTGTTGTGCAAGCGAATGTTTAGCGAGACAAGCATTTCTAGCTTTCTGTGTGCTGAACACCTGTGGGAGGTGTCAACCGGGGGTTGGTAGTGAACTATGTACACAGTGGGCCACCTGGGTTTGATGCTGTGGTGCCCTTCCCACCTTAGTCTCCCCAACGTTAGGTCCTGGAGCTCCAGTTCCCAGAGTGTGGGGCGATGTGGCGCCAAGTCAGGGTCCTGAACTCACCCCCCACAACTTAACACTCCAAGGTGTGAGGGAGCCGACTGATGCTGAATTCTCTGTCCTGTTATATTGCCTCTTTTTAATTGTTTCATCAAACAAATTGCAAACCAAACGTTTACACCTACGTGTCTAAATGTATAACGTTCACAAGTATCCATTCAACTGTGTTTTTAAGGTGGTGATACAGTTTATGAACAATTTTGCTGGGCAATTGCCAACCAGATGAGACAAAAGGAAACTTCTTTGGATCTGGATAATTGCGAAAAGTTGCCCATTGCCAATCAAAGTGTTTCACATAGAAATTTGTTGCTCAATATGAATGGGGAAGTGTCCAAGCAGCATTGGTCAGTGACTTTGCTCAAAAAGTTGCCCTGTGTATCGTCTCCTAATCACTACGCCCCCTGTTGTTTTGCTCGGTTCGTCTCATCTCTGTCCCTCTTGCTGTCAGCTTGCCTTATGGGGCTGCCCATGTTTCTACTTCCTTTTGGCTGTGGCCTCAAGCTGGGTTTAGGCACCATGGACAATGTCGTCAAGGGCCGAGAGTTCATGGGGCATTGTTGAAGGTCGTATCCATGACGATGGCTCAGTTTGAATTTGCGCAAAGGTGAGCTGGAGTGGCTGCTTTCGGGGGCCTTATCAAGATCTCGGAAGGGAAATCAAACATGGCAGCAGTTAATACTGGAAACAAGGAAATGAGGAGGTGCATCATCTGCAGCTGGGCAGGGATTCCTCAAAACCAGCATGAAGTTAAAGATTATCCCAAGGTTTCTATTAATACCGTGTTATCGGGGGTGCGAGAGGCCTCTGAGTCAGGCTAGATGCTCTCACCTGTGATTGGCCAGACACCTATTTCTTTTAGATTTTGTAACTGAAGCAGAGTGTTGTTACTGGGGATTGGAGCCTGGGGTCCGAGTGAGCGGCTCGCAGACATACGGCCAAGTGGGCAGCTTGTAGACGGACGGCCAAATGGGTGGTCCGCAGATGGGTGGGCTGTCCGTAGATGGGCGGTCTGCAGATGGGTGGTTGGGCGGGTGGCTCGCAGATGGGCAGCCAGGTGGGCGGACTGCAGATGGGCGGTCCACAGACAGGCAGCCCACAGACGGGAAGCTGGGTGAGGAGCCTGCAAATGGGCGGCCGGGCGGGCTGTCCGCAGATGGGCGGTCTGCAAACAGGCGGCTGGGTGGGCAGCTCTCAGACGAGTGGCCGGGTGGGCAGTCTGCAGATGGGTGGAACCACAGATGGTCACCCTGCAGATGGCTGGCTGGGTGGGCAGCCTGCAGACGGGTGTTTGGACAGGCGGCTCGTAGACGGGCGGCCGGGTGGCCGGTCTGCAGATGGGCGGTCCACAGACGGGCAGCCTGCAGGCAGGTGGCTGGGTGGGCAGCCTGCGGGTTGGTGGCTGGGTGGGCGGTCTGCAGTTGAGCAGTCCACAGATGGGCAACCTGCAGATGGGTGGCTGGGTGCGCGGCTCGCAGATGGGCAGCCAGGTTGGCAGTCTGTAGATGGGCAGCCTGCAGGCGGGTGGCTGGGTGAGCGGCTCGCAGATGGGCAGTCAGGTTGGCGGTCTGCAGATGGGCAGCCTGCAGGCGGGTGGCTGGGTGGGCGGCTCGCAGATGGGCAGTCAGGTTGGCGGTCTGCAGATGGGCAGCCTGCAGGCGGGTGGCTGGGTGGGCGGTCTGCAGATGGGCAGCCAGGTTGGCGGTCTGCAGGTGGGCAGCCTGCAGGCGGCTGGCTGGCTCACAGCGGCTTGCAGATCGGCAGTCAGGTTGGCGGTCTGCAGATTGGCAGCCTGCAGGCGGGTGGCTGGGTGCGCGGCTCGCAGATGGGCAGTCAGGTTGGCGGTCTGCAGATGGGCAGCCTGCAGGCGGGTGGCTGGGTGGGCGGTCTACAGATGGGCAGCCAGGTTGGCGGTCTGCAGATGGGCAGCCTGCAGGCGTTGCTTGGGGCCCTTACAGCCCTGACCTGTCTGGGGCACCTACTGAGGGTTTCACTTTCAGGTCAGGCTGTCCTTGTACCTGGGACAGCAGTGGGCATTGGAGGGGGGGTGGTGTTTAGCCCTCTGTGGGTCATGGCTGAGCTATTATACCCACACTAATAGTTTTCCTTAAACAAGGTGGGGCAGTTCTGCAGCTCCTCTCGTGTTCAGAACACGGAAATGGGCAGATGCCCTGAACGCTTGTGAACCGGCCCGCTTCAGGGGCCCTGTTTCGTGAAGCAACAGAACCCCCCCCCCCCCCGATCCAGTTGTCCTCGAAGCAGATAATGTTAAAATGTTCTTGAATGGAAGGTTATCCTGGGAAACTAACTGGTTAACAGAAGCAGGATGATCCCCCCTATGGCCCATAAGGTAGCTGTTTCATTATCATGATTTTTCCTCCAGAGACAGTAGGAACAGTAGGAACATGGTCTTTAATGAGGCTGGATGTCTGGGTGCATAGAGCTGTCGCTGTGTAAGTGTGACCTTGCTGGTATGTGGCGTGTTGGACAGCCTCAGCATTAGAAAGCACTGTTTGTGTGCATAAGTGTGTTACATATGCACACCTCAGCCAGGGTTAATTGCCCTCAATTCCCCATCCCCACCCCCACATACACATACACTGACACTATCTCAGCCAAGCTTTATTGTTCATGGTCTTGTGAGCCAAACCAGTTTTTTTGCTTCCCAGTAAGTGAATGTCAAGGTTAAGGCAGTAACCCTGTCATTAGGCTTTGGTTTATGGGATTTCCGCGATTATGGGAGTTTCTTGTGGTCCTCCTTTGATTCAGGACGGCTTCTGGGTAGCCGTGGCCCCCCTGGTACGGCCGACGTCCCTCGAGCCGTGATGGCTAGCAGGGTGCCAGTGCACCTCACCACGTAATGCACGTCGATGCTTGAGCGGGCGTGGAATGCAAGCTCCTTGCACAACCTGGCGTTTGGCGTCTCGGGTGAGTGGCTGGGGCCCCCCCCCCCCCCCCAGCCCCCGCAGGCCGGCCTTATCTGAGGCAGCATCCAGACTGTGTAGGCATGTGATGTTGAGCAACAAATCCATAAAGTGGCACCGTGCTGTATGGGTCTTAAGGAGTCAGAGCTGAGGTCCGTCGGCGGTGCTTGTGAAGGGCGTGCAAGTTAGGACTCGGGTGTGTCTGCGTTGGTTTTAGGAAGCTTGGCCAATCTGAGGGTTCCCCTTACTCTGCAAAAATCTACACGTCGTACATTTAGGAGGATAAAGTTAGTACAATTTGAAATTGGACCGCCCCTCCTCTTGGTACATGGGACTCACGGTAATAAAGGAAGGGTAGGGGTCATGGCGGGTCTCCGTGGAGATGAGAGACACCTGCAGATCTTAGACAGTGCTTAGGGCTTTCGTAAATGGCATCATTTATTTGCCTGAAGATCACCTAGGACCTCCTCCAAGGTCATCCGTGAGGACAGGAATGGAGCCGGACCAGCTGCAGCGCCGGGCAGCAGACGGGCACAGGGACACCCCCGCTGTGACCATTCACATCCCCACCCCCCCAGAACAGGATGCCCCCCACTGCTAAAGGTAACGTGATTTTAGGGATGGTCAGAGGAGTGTAGAGAGTGCGAGGAGGCGCTGACCTGCTCTCTGGAACAGGGAGCTCGGGGTCAATGACCTGCCCACTTCCCCAGCTCACTGTCACCTACTGCTGGATCGGCCTGTCCAGGAGCATGGCCCACCCCCCCGAACTGTGGGGCATAGCCCTAGTCAGCTACTCAATGTCAGCTCTCCAGTGTTATCAGCTGCTCTATGTTGGCTCTCCAGTGTGATTGGCAGCTCCACACTGGCCCTCAAGTGTGATTGGCTACTACATGTCGGCTCTCCAGTGTGATTGGCAGCTCCACACTGGCCCTCAAGTGTGATTGGCTACTACATGTCGGCTCTCCAGTGTGGTTGGCCGCTCCATGTCGGCTCTCCAGTGTGATTGCAGCCTTGTCCAGCCCCCCCCCCCCAACCCTCCTTCACCCCAGCCCTCCACAGAGGCTGCAAAACACAATGTAACGGGAAGTACAGAACAGAGCTTTACCTGTACTGAATTTGCATAGCGTAATTTTAAGCTTATATTTAACAGGTGGTGTATTTAAATAGGTACAGCCGACGAATACAATCCAGACTGAGCACATCACATAGAGGAAAAGGCTTTTTAGTGTCTCAGTCAATCTGCTCCATCCTCCATTAATCTGAGAGGCCCATTTCTTTCTGTTTGCAGCTGATAGAACTTTCCAGAACTGGTTAAGTCACAGATAATAGCTAAAACAAATTAAACAGCACCCCGGCAAGGTCCAGAAACTGGAATCTTCTAGCATTTGATCTGTCAGGATGTGTTGTGGTTGATGAGGGCTCATGTCGTTAACCGCTGAGCGCGGGTTAATTTTGGGGAGGGCGCTGGCATGCCATGAGGGTGACAATGCCTTTGGCTGGGCCCACCTTCGCCCAGAGCGGGCTGCAGCTAACGGGGAAATGTGCTGATTCCTCACTCAGGCTGTAATTCATTAACACATCTCAAAAAAATATATATCTGAAGATAACCAGCTACTGTCACTGAATAAATTGCTGACAGATGAATAATCTTGCCACTAAAGGACAGCATTCCTACTGTCACTTTTTACACTTGCTGGTTTTTACAGCCAAAATAAAAAGGTCTCAAAAGTTGGTGTAGGAACGGAATCACTAGCGCAGGTCTGTAGGCCTGAGGGGCTCTTCTGGGCCACCCAGACGGCAGCCCCTAGAGTTACCACCCGTCCTCTATTTTACAGGATTGTCCCGTATTGAAAACAAAATGCTGTGTCCC